ATCTTCATTGAGGTAAGTCGCCTTTTTGGCTCTGATATTTGGAGAAATTGTTCAATTGACTTAAATGAAATCACCCACAGGCCTCTAATGACACTGGGAGACCAGAGAGCTGGAAGACCTTGACGTCTTATCTTGCAAAAATTGCCAGTGCAGGTTTGGACCCGATCCTACAGTATTGGGAAAGTGGTTCTGTATGCAAATGTACAGAAGTTAATGGATTAAATGGGTTTCAGGTGATAAAACGCACGTTTCCGACAAGCTCACCATGGATGATCTGCTTTTTGGAGTGGACAGGACTAAATATTACCGTTATCTTGGCTCTTTGACCACACCAAACTGCGATGAAGGTGTGATTTGGACCATCTTTAAAGACCCCATTAAAGTCAGTCGAGATTTGGTAGGTCTAGACCGTTTTCACAAAAATATTTAGGCCTAAACAAGATTTTCACTTAAATTGGATTACAGTTTTAATAGGCTAAAAGTAATGTGGTGCATCAGTCATGCATAGGATTTCATAAGACTTATGCAAAAGACTTAAGCTGATTGAATGCCATTTGAACACATGAATCTTGAAAATTAATGCAAGTATAGTTCCACCAAATGCTTGTAATTTTAGTTTCAAATACATTATCCCCCGGTTTCACAGACAAGGTTTAAGACCAGTCCCAGACTAAAATGCATGTTTGAGCTGTCTGAACTGAAAATATCTTTCTGTGACATTTCTTAATGTCTGTGTCGTTATTGTCAAGATGCACACCTGTGAAATTTTCTTCCAAGGCATTTTTGTAAAAGTTGCTTAAATATCTTAATTCAACTAGGGTCTAGTCCTAGCTTAAACTAAACCCCGTTTGTGAAACCGGGCCTATGTCGAAGTTATGTAATTTGGCGTGAAGGAACAAAGTGCCTCCTTTTGGCTCAAGTTATTTTGATTTCTCCAAATAGATTGACCTCTTCACTACGACTGTCTACATCAACAAAACCTCCAACTCTCCACTAATGACCAACACGTTTAGGGGTGTTCAGCCCATCAATGGCAGGGTTGTGACGTCACAGAGAGCAGGTACCAAAATTACTGGCCTCATAAAGCCAACATCAGGTACCAAAACTACTGGGTTTGTAGGTACTAAACCTACTGGCCTTATCAAGTCAACATCGGGTATCAAAACTACTAGAATTCTAAAGCCAACATCAACCGCAACAAACCTATCCCAGGCTTTCGTTTTTCCTCTGAGTGTCATACTCCTGTACTGCATCCTACCTTTGTAAATCGGTTCACAAAATGCTGAGATTTAAGATGGCTTTGTGATTGTGAAATATACAATTCAATGTTATAGATCGTTTAAAAAAAAAAGCATCAGCAATGTCAAGTAACTTCGCTAATGTCAATTTTTAACTTAATGTTGTCAGGGTTTAATTTCATTGTAGAAGTGTTTCCTCGTTCTCCGCTTGTTTCCTGCAACTGTTTAATATGAAACTGCCTTCCATGTGCACTAAAGGTCTTATTTGGTTGTAGTGCTGGGTACGTTTTATAGGGTGTTAACTGTTTGACTTTCATGCACCGCGTTGAACATTTGAGCTGCTTGTGGTTTTTGCAATAATAACATGACTTGAGTGTCTGCTTTACAGATTGAAGTGGAATGTTTCTTTTGAACTGAATGTAGGCAGCATGCTGAGGCCATGTCACCGATTCTGCTATTTTGTTTTTGAAAAATGAATTTTCTCCCTTGACTAGTTAAACCGTATCTAGTGCTTGTGATTTTGTTTCTCACTCGGATTTTGGCTTGTAGGTTCCCATAAGTGTCACCGTAAATGCTGTTTTTTTTTTTTTTTTTTTTTTTAATTGCATCGGTTTTAAGCTTAATTCATTAAAGTTTATTAAAACAATTTATGGTATAAAATGTACGTCTGTCAATCATTTCACAGCAGGGAGGCAAATTATTCTACTCTGTCTTTAAATGATGTGAAAGAGATGAGATCCTGTACTTACACTTTTCTATACATTTGATGCCAATAAACATCATCCTATAATCAGAGCGGGGTAGATTACTTACAAATTGTAGTCAGTTACAGATTACATGATGCTGTGGTTAGCACCGTAATCTAGGTTAGTCATTTTAAATTTTTTTTTTTTTTTTTTCTTTCACGCATACCATATTGATATAAAACCGCAAAGAGTGTCCATTCAATGTTTTGATGACACAATGCATTACATTTTAAACCAGGGTTTCCCAAATGGAGCTTAATGTAAAAACTGCAGTGGGTTTTTGAGTTGATAAAAAGCTACGGACTAAATTGAAACATGTCAACGTTGAAAGTAGAAGTCTTTATTTTTATACATGCGTTGACCTTTTCTAGACTTGTTGTTTGATAGTTTTGGGGGTGTGAGTAATGTAATTTTGATTGCACAGTTTATTGTTCATGCATGGTGACCAGCTGATAAATTTCACAATGTTGAAAAAAAACACAGTAAAAATATTGACGGTCTCCTACAGTGTCTAAAGACTGTCTCTTTTGTTATTTAAAAACTGAAGAATCTTGCAGAAACATGTTAAATGAAAGTACTAAAGATTAATTTCTGTGTCTTTTGCATTAGAAACAAAGATAATGGATGCTAGATTTATGATGCTGATCGATTAGAGTGGGATTTATCTGGTCTCAAAATTAACATTTGAAATGACAAGTGTGGATGTTGAATTCAACGCTATTGAATTTCTCTCCCTTTGGCTCAAATGGGATGGCCTGACCGGAACCCCACTTGATCTTTGTGGGTTGAAACTCATTACAAAAGCTGACTCCAAGTGGAAAATGATTCCAAAAGCATATGGGCATGATTTTTTTTCCCCACACAATAACATCGGTGCTGTCCCCAGTGATGTCTTTTGTATGCTTTTGCATTGTTAATACAGTAGTGGCACCTTTGAGAATAACTATATTAAACAAAATATTGACCGATATCTGTCAACAAAGAACATTGAATGTGCAACTAGTAAATAGAGAGTCAGTTGGGATTATTATATGCAAAACTATTTAACCAGCTCATGTGTGGGTTGCAAAGGTTGCTTGGAAACCCGGTATTCAGATATGTTCCCTTAAAAAACTTTCAGTGCATTTCCGCTTCCACACAAATAATACTAAAAGCAAATGATATTCATAATATAGATATTTTCACGAGATTGCATTAATTTGTTATTAATCTGCTTTATTAAAAGAACTACAGTAGTCAACATTTGAAGTGGATCAAAAGCATTCATCAAAGTTGTCTTAAGACAAGAACGCTTTTAGGTTTTATGACGACTCTGATTAAAGGTTTTGATCCACTTCAAAGGTTGACTTGTATATAAACTATTTTATACATTGCAATTTTTATTCATACCATCAGATAGTCTCTTAAATCCGTTCACTGATCATTTCTATTTGTGTTAATATTTGTTACTTCCTTAAAAAAAAAAACTCAGTGCATTTCCGCTTCCACACAAATAATACTAAAAGCAAATGATATTCATAATATAGATATTTTCACGAGATTGCATTAATTTGTTATTAATCTGCTTTATTAAAAGAACTACAGTAGTCAACATTTGAAGTGGATCAAAAGCATTCATCAAAGTTGTCTTAAGACAAGAACGCTTTTAGGTTTTATGACGACTCTGATTAAAGGTTTTGATCCACTTCAAAGGTTGACTTGTATATAAACTATTTTATACATTGCAATTTTTATTCATACCATCAGATAGTCTCTTAAATCCGTTCACTGATCATTTCTATTTGTGTTAATATTTGTTACTTAGCCTATTTTTAAATATTCATTTTATTTTCTACAATTCAGGTATCTTTTTATCCTATTAACTTCTGTACTATATTTTCATGCTAATAAAGTAATTAGCAAGTCAATAAATCAAAGACTCCACAAAAAACACTACTCACAACTGAAACAAAATAAAATGAATCATTTACTTATAAGATATTGGATCTCATTGCCAAGAGGTTTATACTATATGTTGATTCTGATTTTCCCATGGATTGATATGATGTAGCAAGCAACCAACAAAACAGAGTTAACCGATCAGGGTATCATAGCATGATGTACAGCTCCGTTAAAAATCTTGACCATCCACATTTTTAAAATACTGTGCATTCTGTCACTTTTGTCAAAAAAGCAACTTATTTTCATGACTCTTTCTGTAACAGATCTTGAAAGCCTACATTCTTCCAGTACAGATTTTACACCTCTGCAAAGGAAATTAATGGACACGGAAGCTGTTAAGCTTCAAAACAGATGCAAAAGCTTCGTTCACTATATTCCAAGTCTTCTGAATACATTTTGTGTGTGACAGAATGAAATGAAGGTCATTATTAACTGACATCAACTGAAGCTCTCCTTGACGCATCATGAGAGTGATGTCTGACTCATCAGCGATTCATTCTTTTGAGTCTGATCTTTTCAATAATTCAGTTGATCTGGTGTGGCCAAATGAACACCAACTAATTAAATATCATCTAAAACCTGAAACCGTTCAAGGAATAGTTCAGCCAAAAATGAACATTTGCAGAAAATGCGCTCAGTTTCTGACTGTCCAAGATGTAGGAGAGTTTGTTTCTTCATCAGATTTTGAGAAATTAAGTATTGCATCACTTGCTCACCAATGGATGCTCTGCAGTGAATGGGTGCCATCAGAATGAGAGTCCAAACAGCTGATAAAAACATCACAATAATCCACAAGTAATCCACTCCAGTCCACCAGTTAATGTCTCGTGAAGCCAAAAGCTGCGTGTTTGTAAGAAACAAATCCATCATAAAGAATATTTTAACTTTAAACCGTTGCTTCCAGTTAAAACGCTTTGCTTTCTCCAGTGAAAACATCATCTTGTCTGAATCAGGAGAAAACAATACACAGATCAAGCACCGTTTACAAGCAAAAACAATGATTTTGATGTGAGAGGACAACAGGAGATGCACTTTTTCACTGGAGGAAATGTTGTTATGGATTATCGACTCATATTTTGGTCAGAAGCAACAGTTTGAAGTAAAAAACATCTTAATGTTTTTTTTTTGTATTATTTCTTACAAATACACAGATTTTCACATCACAAGATGTTAATTGATGAACTGGAGTGGTGTGGATTACTTGTGGATTATTGTGATGTTTTTATCAGCTGTTTGGACTCTCATTCTGACGGCACCCATTCACTGCAGAGTGAAATGCTAAATTTCTCCAAATCTCTTTCAGTGAAAAAACAAGCTATTCTACATCAATTTTCAGCAAATTTTCATTTTTGGGTGAAGTATCTGAAATATTAAGGTAATAATGTATGTACATACATGTTCCTCTGTATGTCCCCACATGTAGCAGAATGACAATAAAGCTCAACTTGACTTGACTTGACTTGACTTGATAATGAGCTGGAAATGGTTGTACAGGTGCAGTACAATGCTGCTGCATTACAACACAGTTCCACAGTGGATTTCTTTGTGTGAAGTGTGTGTCCTTTTTTGAAATTCAAGCCTGTTAGTAAACCATAAACATCTTGATTTAAGCACAAAGATGGGATTTGCTGCCAGTATTTATGAGATTATCAATTCATCAAACATTGAAGTGAGTATTGCCAACATTAAATTGTAGTGTTACACATTTCCTTATCTCAAAGGTAGGCCTGTCTGAAATATAATCGAGGGCGTGTGTAATCCATAGTGTTTGCTGACTGTTGAAAGCTTCTACACAGACCACTAAAGGATCAGGTTCCATTTCAAAGGGCAGAAAAGAACAAACTGTACTATTACCTGCTTTCAGGTGACATAAATGTGGGTGTAAACTACCGTCACGCTTGGTCTTTTGTCCTACTTTATTGTTAAATGGATTGTGTTCATTGTTCAAAATTGCCTTCGTACGATTAATCAAATTGTTCTTTCATTGTATGGACAGCGTGCAATTTCAGTAATACGATATTAGTATTATCAATTCCACTCAACTTCAAATGAAATATTATCTTAATGCAACACTGTTGAGTAACATTACAGATAACATTACAATAATGACAACAACAATCCTTTTTAAGATAATTATTTTGATTAAAATGACCATAACAGGACTATTTTTCATTAACTAAATTAATTTAAACCCTAAAACAGCATGTTTGCTATTTAAAATGCTATTTAAAACTTGCCAAGGCAACATTTATTTTTACATTTTAATTGAAGAACTAAAGCAACTAAAACGAAATAAAATTCAATTAATAATAAAAAAAAATAATGAACACTATGTAGACATAAATAAATCGTCAAAACATCAAAAATGCACAACAAAATTACTAAAGCGTTAACTAAAATTTAAAGTGAAAACAGCAAATTCAAAA